ATTTTCTTATATATTTTAAAGATTTATAGGTTCATACTAAGTTTCATTTCTTAAAACATCCAAAATAACTTATTTCTCTTTCGTTTTTCAAGCGCAATGTTTCACACAATATTTTAAATAATTTGTTACATCTATACTGTACTATCAAACACGCTGTATGTGTTAATATTTTAAAATATGGTGGAGCTATGTATATTCAAAAAATGAATGATATTCAGTTGTTTTGTTGCTGAATTTTATGATCAAAGATAATTCATTATTCGTTGGAGATTAAAAATAATGATGATGGTTAAGTGTGATAAGCAACAATCATAATATAATTACTGAATGAGGTCATACAGCCACTGTCACCCGCTATTAATCTCATTGATTCAATCAAAACGAACAATTCAATCTCTACTACACGAATGCAACGGCGGAGCAAAGAAGGTTTTTTTTGAGATTATGTAACAACCAATAATTCAATCTCTACCACAACCTAACTATTTAAAAGATACCATTAACATTATATTATAATTTAATAATTCGAGTTATGTAACAACTTTGTTTCAGGCAAAAGCACTTGTATCCCTTGCTGCATAAAACACTGTTATCACCTATTGGTGTTATGGAATGAAATATAGGTTACTCATACTGCTCTACCTTCCATCCTCTTATATTCACTGTTTATTGTTCTTTGTGTACATCATCATGGTATCAGTGCCTCAAGCCCAATAACAGTCATCTCCCCAAACTTCGCACTATTTGTCCCAATTAGCCACATGGTCCCCTCTAAACAGTTACCGTAACCTCATCTAACCTACTTGCTCTCTTCCATGGGCCCCTCAATGTCTTCAACAATGAATGATCAAAACAGAGAAAGCAAGGCACTTTGCAGGTGGGAGATATTACCATTCCTCTTTTGTCAAAGTTTTGAGAAAAATAGGCTTAAATCTGAATAGACTCGATTGCCTTTTCCCTTTGCTTTCATTCCATTAAATAACAATCTTACAATCTATTTTCGGTACAAAATAAAGTGCATAATCTATTTTAGGTAACTTAGTAATACATATTTCTAATCTAAATATTCAGCTAAAAGGGAAATAAATCAAAATAAAGATATTGGAAATAAAGAAGCTTCTAATTATAGAAAACTCCTAATTTAGCTGCCTGATTTCCGTCCTTCCTGATTGACATCCCCCCTCAAATTGATGTTGATTGATCAAGAAACATCAATTTGCTAACAAGAAACTGATAACACTGTCAGGACAAAAAAACCTCAAGCCGTGAGTGACGAAGCTCAAGTCTGTCGAAGCCAAAATTTTGTCAAAGTCTAAGAATGCCAAAGCCTGAGAATGCTGAAGCCTGAAAATGCCGAAGACCAAGAGTGCCGAAGCCCGAGAGTGCCGAAACCTAAAAATGTCGAAACCCAAAAATGTCGAAACCCAAAAATGTTGAAGATCGAGAGGCTGAAGCCTAAAAGTGTCGAAGCCCAAGAGAGCCGAAGCCTCGAAGCCCGAGATTGTTGAAGCTCGAGATTGTTGAAACCCGAGATTGCTGAAGCCCAAAATTGCCAAAGCCCAAGTAGGCCAAAGCCCAAGTGTGTCGAAGCCGAAGCCAAGACGGGCGAAGCGAAGCGTAAGAAGCAGTCAAATATGTCACAGAAGCAGCGATGCCTGGTGAAGAAGATCCGAATCGGACGAATAATAATACAAACATAAAAGCCCTTTTTCAACTCAAGAATCTTTGTATTCCTCAAGATGATACCCTAGAGTCCCTGCAGGCGTTGTGGAGCAGATAGAGGAATTGAATCCGTCAGCTTCGTTCTCATATCCATCGCTGTTGAGACCAAGACCAAAAATCGCCGAGACGTGCATAAAACCGTTCTTTTGGAAGCACATTCGCCAACTTCACATCGCAGTGGGTAATCGGCGGATAAGAACAGTGAAGCGCGAGGATGGCTTTCATCGTTTGGAGAGCGAGGCGTAATAAACTGAATTCCTAATAGGCTCGATTCCTCTAGCGAAGAAAGTCTGAAAGTCGCGGTCGTTGACGAAGGAAACCATGAAGAGAAGGAATCCTATGGCGAACAATAGCAATCCCACGAAGGAGTCCGAGAACTGGATCAGGAGCTGATCGAGGTGCGTCGAGCCGCAGTTTCCTTGCAGTCTCCCTTGCAGTCTCTGATCTGTGACCAAACACAGTGATTTCGTTGAGGTAGAACATCATCAGTGCTCTGCACTTCGTCGCTACCGTCGAATAAAGCAAGCAAATGGCGAAGGACGTCGATGGTGGAGGCAATTGTGCCGAGGATGGTGGCGCCATGGACGATTGAGCTGAAATTCTACGGTGGGGTGAGCGGAGCCGTAACCCTAACCCTATTGGCGAGCCCAAACACGAGAGGGAGAGGATGTAGAAGGACAACACAACCCGATAGAAGGCTAATCGAAGGAGGAGAAGTAGTTCCTCCCTTCCCGCAAGAAGGCCGGCGGGAAGGGAGTTTTGAGGCTCCTTCAACGATTATCGGTGGTTTAGATAAAACTTGTCTCTGATATTATGTCAAAGCTTTGAGAAAAATAGACTTAAACTGAATGGGCTCTATTGCCTTTTCCCTTTGATTTCATTCCATTAAATAACAATCTTACAATCTATTTTAGGTACAAAATAAAGTGCATAATCTATTTTAAGTAACTTAATAATACATATTCCTAATCTAAATATTCAGCTAAAAGGGAAATAAATCAGAATAAAGATATTGAAAATAAGGAATCTTCTAAATATTGAAAACTTCTAATTTAGCTGCATGATTTCTGTTATTCCTGATTGACATCTCCAACTAATGCTCCTACTATCAAATGCAAGAACAATAATTAATCTATAACTCAACCAAAAATCATCCCACTTGGAGGTCAAAAATCCAAAAAATTTTCAAGGCCAATGGTTTTGATGGATTAGTTCCACTTTTCTGCCAACAAAGCAAATAATAAATGACGATGGTATCATCACCCTAACTCTTTACCGACGTGGATGTTTATTGATAAAATCTTTATTGCAGCCCTCTATTCACTGTCTCTCCATCTCACCCTTGACTCTTGCACATAAATTTGAATAACAGTCAAAAGATGACCGATCCACAAATTGATCTCATATAGTACACCTTGTTAATAATACAGCTTCGCCTCCTTGCCAACATGTATAAATGTTTAATGGAACGCCATTTGTTGATCTCTTACCACATCATCATTGATAACTTTGTCCAATACTATTGCGGGTCTAGGATGCTGCTGATGATTTCACCGAGCAATGCATTATCATGCTAAGTCTTTTGCTCAAGTCGATAATAGAGCTAGGGTATTATTTTGGTATTACAATATTCACTAATTTGAGCACATTAGATTTGAGAAATTAAAAATAATGAAGTCTGCCAACAATTTTTAGAAAAAAATGCCTTCATTTACATTTATCATGTAAATGACTCCCACTTATCTAGATTGAGAGAAATCATTGACTGCAAGTGATGATCCGCAAGCAGGTCAATCAAATCATAGTTGAGTAAAAATATTTGTAGAACTCGCTATTTGGTGCAGCCTTCCATCTGGTGACTAGATTTATATGTTGTATATGTCAAGGGTCACCTCTTTTTTAAATTGTTAGGAAACTTGGTGCATTTTAATATGCTCTAAATTTTTTTCGTAATATCTATATCCTCTTTTTATATATGTGAATTTGTTTTTGCCTTCTGGTGGTCTTTTTGAACATTGAGGCTGGCCTTTTAACATTTCCATAAGTTAATTTTTTATTCTGTGTTTAGCCATGCTAGTGCTATTAGATGCTTTGGCCTATTAATCAGTTGTGTGGATTTGATTAGAATCAAAGCCTCAATCAATTAGTACAAATTTATATCGAAGTTTGGGCACTATCATCAAGTATCAACCATAAACATTGAATCAATTCAATTATTAAATATTTTATCAGGTTGTGAATTGAGTATGATCCACATAACACATCATCAACAACAACAACAACAACAACTACTCTTTATCTTATTAAGTATGGTCAGCGACATGAATCATTTTTTTCCATTATGCCCTATTGAGTGTCTACATAACACATGTACTCTATATATCATTACAATAACAAATTAGAATCGTTAATTTTTTTCTAATATTTATAATCCACTAACTTAAATTTTTTTTTAACCACCCTCATCGCCCATATTATTTGTTTTAAATCCACAAAACTAATTGCCAAGCATGGCTTCTCATATTTTTTACCTTATATAAGAAAATTTAGTAGCTTCCTAATCGATCTGAGTTATTGCTAAATGCATCGTGGATCGAATGCTAGTTGACCTTGAATGGATTTGAATTTAAATCTAACTCAAAAGCTATTCAAATTAAATGAAGGCACGTATGACTTGTTTAAAACCTAGTTTGTTGATAATTTTATATTTGATCCAATCTAATATGATGTTAAGGCAATCGTGGCAAATGAGGTTATTTGGAACTATTTGAATGTCATTCTACCTTATTCTATATGCATGTTTCCCTTGTTGATGACTTGTAGATCACACAAAAGGAGTTAAAATTTTAATACTAGATTTTCTAGAAAAATATCTCCAATTACACTCGTATGAGGTGAGTTCTTGTTGCTTCAAGGAATGTATGTTATTCGCCCAATGTCTGTTCATTGATGTAGGCCATAAACTGACAAATTATTGTATTTTTTATCAAGAGTGGATGTTGAGGCTTGCCTAACTAGCCTATGATTTATCATGATTAGTCATGTCAACTATGTTTGCTACATTATAGCCCTTTATCATATGTGATATGATAGTTTATTTTCCATCAACTTTGGAGCATTTTGTGTTTGTTTTGTTTGTAGGTTATTGTTAATTGATGTTTTACGCTTTTTTTCTTTTTCTGTATTGTAAGTATGGTTTTCAATTGTAGATACTTGGGTTCAGACATACCGTTACACAGTTAGGTTTTTCTTTGTAACTTTGTACTTTCATTTATCAGAGATTGTCTGCTGAATACAGCAGTAGGAAAGCATGGCTATCAAATTATCCTGCTTTGAAAGTGGGGAGTGATAATGATAGATATCTGATGACATTATCATCGAATATAGATGGAGTTAATGAAAATTTACCCAAGGCAAGTCGTTTTATGTTTTTTGCTAGTTATTTGTATCAGCATATGATCGAGTGTCTTATCTGTTTGGTAATGACTTCTGCGATAACAGCACACTGAAATATGGGCTAAACCAAACAGTGAAAATTTCACACAATGCATCGAACCAGCAAACTATAAGAGTAATTTGTCTTCCCTTGTTTCTCACCGTTGCCATATTCATCTGTTGAGTTCTTGGGTTATTTTGTTTGTGTTCATTACTGCTGTAAAATAATTATAATTTCAAAATTTCATGGATTTTTTTTGGCAGATGTTGATACTAAGACAAATGGATATGTTCTAGTTAATGCGAATGGAGGTTTGAATCAGATGAGATTTGGGGTCTCTGATTATTTTTTAGGAAGATCTACATACATTCCACTCAAATCTTATGTATTTACATATCTGATACTAAAACTTCAATTTTTACATGCACATCACCTTAGTTATGCCTGAAAAGGTGTATTTCACTTTTTAAAAGTTAAAATGGTGGTATTTTTGATTTGATATGAATGTTTTAGGTGTATTAATGTATAACTAAGTTTTAGTTGAACTAAACTTTATTTGATCGATATGTAATTACATAGGACTAGGCTGGTATGTATGTAAATGCACCTATTTTTTATTGATTTAGTTGTACTTCTGTTGAAGATTCTTTACTCAATGCCCTTATTTGCGTGTCTGTAGATCTGTGATATGGTTGCCATTGTTAAGATTATGAACGCGACACTTGTGCTACCTTCTCTGGACCATTCTTCCTTCTGGGCGGATGATAGGTTCGATCACTTCGCCACATTTATTATTCAAGTTTCTTTTACAGAATAACAGAAGAATTTTTGTTTTATATTCTGCAGTAACTTTAAGGATATCTTTGACTGGAAGCATTTTATTAAGACCTTGAAGGGTGATGTTCATATAGTTGAAGCATTGCCAGCTTCTTTTGCCAGAGATTGAACCTTTTAAACCTTTTAACAAAACTCCTATATCTTGGTCTAAGGTTAACATTGAAGACAAAATTAATATCTCGTTGTTTTATTGTTTTTATCATAATATTGATAATTTAATGTGTTTACTTCAGGTCAGTTATTACAGAGAAGAGGTCCTCCCTCTCCTGAAAGAATATAAAGTTCTGTATTTAACGCACACAGACTCTCGGCTTGCAAACAACGGTCTGCCGGCCTTTATTCAGAAACTGAGATGTAGGGTAAATTATAGAGCTCTGAAATATTCTGCTCCAATTGAAGAATTTGGTGCAACTCTAGTTTCTAGAATGAGGTTACGAGGACATCCATATGCTGCGCTTCATTTAAGGTAATTTTTTGGGCATTTGATTTCAGTTTTCTAGTAATTTTGATTTTCTATGCGAATATTTTGTGAAAATACATTTGAATTTTTTTTTAAGCTGCATTCTTTTGGATTCTTTTGCCCTTGTATTCATACATGATTCTCTAATTTTTCTTTCATGAAATCCATTTAAGCTTCTTATGATTCTCTTTTGGTGTCCCAATCTTAAGCTTTTTTTGGGTGCTGATTTTGTTTTACATATATGTGGTTTTTTTCAAGCAACATGTAAATAAATATAGTACCGGTTTTCTGCTAAGGTCTTTGGGGCATGCTCTAGGAAAATACCAATGGTTTAGAAAGCGTCGTATTTTTCAATGTTAAAAGTAAGGGGAAGTTAAAAGTAAGGGGAAGATATATTGTAAATTTTGTCATCTGTTTTAAATGCTTGGAAAGAGTTTTTCTCTAGGTTAGATATTTGATAGGATGATGGGGTAATTCATCAGTCTTTTTTTTCTTTTTTGACGTGGGGCATTTACACAGATACCACATAATTCATATATATTTATATATCTATCACCTAAACTTTCATATTTACATACATAAAACTCAAATCTCTTACATCAAAAAAAAATTACCACTATCACTAACCTTTTTTAAATGAAATGCACATTTTCATGCATTCATATTTAATATCAAAATGTTATAAATGTAAATACCAAGTGTTAGATATGTAAATGCATAACAATTGTGTGGTATGTATGTAAATTTTCTTTTTTCTTACCCTAATACTGTGATCTTTAGACATCTTGATCAATGAAAGCGTTTTCAGCCAATAATCAAACCTACTTCTCAAATAATCTCTTGTAGATAGTTATTTGGATTGTTTCTTATGAATGAAGACATCATTATATATTCCCTCAATAGCCTCACTTAATTATCTCATCATCATTAGCTGCAAACTATTTTTCTGTGTACCTTGCATTATTCTTACTCACGTTATATAATTTCTCCTTCTTTTAAAAATATTTTGCAATAAAATGTTTCTTCTTTTGCAGATATGAAAAGGACATGCTGGCTTTTACGGGTTGTAGCCATAATTTGACAGCAAACGAAGAGGAGGAACTCGTCCGCATGCGCTACGAGGTTAGCCATTGGAAGGAGAAGGAAATTGATGGTTCAGAGAGGCGAAAGCAGGGAGGCTGCCCTTTAACTCCTAGAGAAGCTTCTCTTCTTCTCAAGGGATTGGGATTTCCATCAAGCACACACATTTATCTTGTGGCTGGTGAAGCTTTTGGAAATGATAGTATGAAGTATCTGACCGTTGATTTCCCAAACATCCACTCCCATTCAACTCTATCTACAGAAGAGGAGCTTATGCCTTTCATAAATCATCAGAACATGCTGGCTGGTTTGGATTATGTTGTTGCTCTTCAGAGTGATGTGTTTATTTACACTTTTGATGGAAATATGGCGAAGGCAGTACGAGGGCATAGACGCTTCGAGAATTTCAAAAAGACGATTGATCCGGACAGGTATGTTTTGCCATCCTTGTACGGGTCTTACGTATTTGATATTTTACACTTTTAAAAGCCAGATATATGTTTTTTTTTTTTTTTGCTTTAAACGGCTAAGAGTTTGATTCATATCACTTTTGTTTTTGTTTTTTACATTTTTTTTTAAATCTGTTTGTTTAATGCATTTTTTACAATTTTTTTTTTTATTTTGAGAAATTTACATACATACCGCGCAATTCTTATGTATTTATACCTCTAATACCCGAAGTTTGATATATGCGGTGTCATAAATATATGCTTGAAAAAATGTACTTGATTCTTAAAAAGTTGTGATAGTGGCATTTTATGTGATTTAAAATTTGGGTGGGATGCATGTAAATATGAATACTTAGATTTTAGATTTGTAAATACATAAAAGCTTGGTGTTATGTATGTAATTGACCATTTTATCTTTTGTTTTAAAAAATAAATTAACTTGTTTCTAAAAACACTCAAAATACTAAAAAAAAATTATTTTGAATATTTCTAAAAACAACTAAACATGTGTTGACCTCATTTGTGTGAGGCATTTCCTTCCTCCTCATAGAGCCTAGGATCTAGCCATAGGACTTTTCTAACGATCATATTAGAGGACTAGTGTCGAGACCCGCACTATTTAGAAACTCGAACCATCTCTTAACTCTTTTGCGAAGCCTCACAATGGTGGTCCCAGGTCATCCCCATTTGGTTGAGTGGTTATGATTTTGAGTTGTCACCACCTGGTTGAGTGGCTAAGATCATGTACCATCACCACTGGGTTGAGTGGCTAGGACCAATACGTCGGGGCCCGAGTAGAGATCTTATAGGGTTTAAAAGACTTAGGACACCCATAATGACTTTAGTACATTCACACACACAAATGCCACAATTTGCGTCACCTACACCTGTAAAAACTTCATAATTAATCGAAACACAAGTCAATTTTTGAAATGATTGATCAAGAACCCGAAATTTGAAGATAAATCGAATTTGACGCATTTTAGATCCGATCGTCGACAATGTTGTCTGAACAACCCCGAATGACGAAACAGACTGCGCCGACAAGCCCAGAACGTCAATTTTACCTAAGAATGACACCCATATTGCTATAATTCCACACACGAACAAATTACATGCAAATTGATAAATTCGTCAAAATGATATCGGAGGACTAAACAGACAGTGCCGACGCGTCCGCAACATTGAAATTACCTAGAAAAGACATTCATTTTGCTATGATTTTATGCACGAGCGAAAATGCTCAAATCAAGATTTTTAAAAATGCGCAAATTGAGATTTTCAAATATTAACATTATAATAACAATAATAATAATAATAATAATAATAATAAAATAAATAATAATAATAATAATAAAGAGACCCTACTTAATCCCACTCACGCACGCAGACTCGCTTAATCTTTGCTCACACACGCAGTCCCCTCCCCCATTCGAAACCGAGCATGTACTCGCTTGACATTTCGCCTAACCCGTGCCCTAGCTCCTGCGTCCTTCTCACTCGAGCCCGACTCTTTTTCTTCGCAGGCCGCCCGACTGAACGGCTCACCAATTACGAGCCTGCCGCGTGCTCGACCCTTGCTCCGCCCTAGGCCGCATTTCCTCTTTCCTAAATGCATTTTTTCCTCTCCCAATTCCTGATTCGACCACTTCACCACAGGTAAGTATGGGAAGTCTCCTCCTCCTTGGCTATATCAACCCCTCTTGGGGGAAGAGTTTCAGTGCTGAAGTTTTTAGTGCCTTGGGGAGGTTCTGCCGGATTCGTCACTTGATTCATTTCTTTGGAGTTTTTTTTTTTTTGGTTTGCAGCAAGTGAGGTAATCCCATTCTTTCCTCCACTCATTGTCAAGAACCTTCTTTCTTCTAATGCTTAGTCTAATCTTTTAAATAAAGCATGAAGTAATCTCTGGTTTTGTTAGCCGAAGGGTTTGTGAGGTTTACTGTATTTTATGGCTGCTTGCTTTCGTCTCTTGCTAGCTTAATCAACATCCTTGTTGGGTGGCTGATTTATCAAAATTCTTTGCTGGTTTGTTGTTGAAATTTTGGGGAAGGTTGGTGTGAATATTTGGACCCAAAGGATACAATTTCTGGTTTTATTCCTAAAGATTTGGTGAAATCAGAAGCATTTGAAATCTCTTTGGGGGAGGGGGCACTTTACTATTCAGTGTCGTTTCGATTTATGAAATTTGAAAGCTTGGTTACCTTATTTGCAAAGGTTAGAAGTCTTGATGCTTATGTTTTGCAAAATCTGAAACATTTGGGTGGCGTATTTGCAAAATCTGAAACATTTGTGTCTCTTATTTGCAAAATCTAAAATATTTGAGAGGCACATTTGCAAAATTTGAAACATTTGGGTGACGTATTTGCAAAATCTGAAACATTGGGTGACATATTTGCAAAATCTGAAATATTTGGGAGACATATTTGCAAAATCTGAAACATTTGAGTGACATATTTGCAAAATCTGAAATATTTGGGTGGCATATTTGCAAAAATCTGAAATATTTGGGTGACACATTTGCAAAATCTGAAACATTTAGGTGACGCATTTGCAAAATCTAAAAACTTTGGGAGCTTTCCTTTGCTTTCTACTTGCACCTTAGTTGAATAATTTTAAAACATGATTATGGCCACATTCTAATTTACATTTTGGCATGCTTGGAAAATTGTGATGCCTCACTTTTACAAAAATCTGAGAGTTTACATGCTACATTTGCAAAGCTTAGAAAGTTTATAAATGTTTTGGTGCTATACTCATATGAAAATCTGAGAGATTGTATATTCTCTTTGCAAAGGTTTATGGCTTTGATGCTTTACATTTGCAAAGCTGAAACTTCTCATATTCAATTTGGAAGGTTTGGAAGATGGCAATGCTTTACTTTTTGAAACTTTAAGAGTTTTTTTTTTGGAAAATTAGGAAAGTCTTAATGCTTTACTTTTACAAAACTTGAAAGCTTTAAGAGTTTTATTTGAAAAATTTGGAAGACTTTTCGAATCATTTTGATTTTTGAAGATTTGAAAGTCTTTGGAGCTTATTTTTTTTTGAAAATTTGAATTGTTTCATTGGGAGAAAGCAAGATTTACGTTGTTTTAAATGTTATATTCCGATTGACTTGAAAACTTCAAATGCTCTTTTCGAGTTCTATTTGCTTGATGTTTTGGGAGTTGATTTGATTATTTGCGCTTTTGGACCAACTTACTTGTGGTTTCGCTCCTGACTTTGTTGATTTTGTTTAAGTGGGTCGACTTCCTCCATTTATTTGGTTTTGTTTTTTAATTTTTTCTTGCCAATAGTTAAGTTAAAAATGAGAATTTATGATTTAATTATTTTCAGGATTGATTCACGCCTTTAAAATGGGGGTAATCAGAGGGGAGGGAACTAAAAGAAAAAAACAATGATAATTAGTATGTTTAGATGATTGAAACCCAAGGGAAAATATGATAGCAAATCATTCACATTTTTTTTACATAAGAAGGATTAAATTGTAATTGTGAGAATTGAGAGAAAGTAAGAGTTTAGATGTTTCAAGAGGTAGGGGTATGAATTGAAAGATTTGTAGATTATCAATTAGAACCTCTAAGCATTGGTTAGACTTAATAAACCCAATTGTTTTAATTAGGATTGAATCACATTTCATGACATTTTTGACAAAATTCTAGGTTTACCCCTAGGTCCTAAGAGCATGATAGTTAGCTAAGTTTGATCCAAGGATGTTCGAGGATTAGTTGTAAAACAGCTAATTGAAAAAAACATTTTAAAACACTTCAAGCTTAAGTTAAAGTGTAGACTTCTTAGATTTTAAGAGCACACCCTAGGTGAGAGCTCATCTATCTAATTTTTAAATAGACATTGAAGCTAGGCATCTGACCCTAATTTATAAGTTAGTTAAAGCAATAGATAGAATATGCACCAGACTGTGGTTCATGACTGCTTTAATTAAATTAAATAGTGAAATTCTCGTCATAACTTGACCTAAAATGAAACCCAATGCTACACTCAAATCTTCCCTGCAATTGTGGACATTCACAATGTCACATATAAATCTCCTACCCTTAGTCCTTTATATGTGACATTGTGTTTTGTTTTATTTGTTTGTCTTTTTTCCTACGATTAATTTCGAGTCTCTGTGGGTCACTTTCAGTTTTCCTTAGGGCTTTTCACATGTAACTCCGTCATTTATTCTGTTATACATAAACACATGTTTGGTATGCTAGTTAAATTTCTCTATTATACTTTTACTTGCGTGCCAATCCCATTTACATGTACAACAAAAACAAGAAACTTAGGTACCCAAAATTTACAGTACATTTATAGCATTTTACTGCATTTTTTTTTATATTGCTTTTATTTACCGCACCTTATACTGTTTTCATTTACAATATATTTATGGTACTTCCTTATAGCATAGTTAGTTTATGTATGCTTTAAATTAACTACAAAACCTTTTGGATATAACCTGGTTTAAGAGGTATACAGTGGTAAGTCACCAAATAACAATATTGCACGCTCTCGTATAAGACATTAAACCTGAAACTATTACTACATGGAGTATGAAATAACTCTTCGTTGGCAGCACGACCGTGACGTAGCAGACGAAAGATAATGATCTATAACAGTACAAGTCTATGATAACTAAACATTTTTTTTCTTAGTTTAAATAACAACTCATAAGACTTCGAGGTAGTTTGCTTAGTGCAACATAAATCCTTACTTTGTCTTTTAGGCTTTTGCACAACCCTATTGTGCAATTATAATTTCTAACACTTTTTAGGATTTCGAGATTGTCGTACGATACGGTTTAAATCCTCCTGTCTTTCTAGTTTATTTGCATGATCAGATTTCGTGCAAATGTATGCCGTAAATTCTAAAATAAATTGCAAGATTAGACATTGAATAACATCATTTCAAAGACATAAAGCCAAATAATAGGATAGTTGGGAGGTCACCGGGTTCTCCTTAGATTCGTGATATCCCATACTCTT